ACACAGAGAGAGAGAGAGAGAGAGAGAGAGAGAGAGAGAGAGAGAGAGAGAGAAACACATACACTCACACACATGCACACATACACACAATTTACATAATTTTAACAGTTTAAAAGAAATAAACTGCTTATACATTGCTTTATAGACACTTTTAACTGAATACAACACTGCCACACTTGTCATTGTGTGTGTGTGTGTGTGTGTGTGTTTGTGTGTGCGCGCACACTCACACACATGTGTGAAGTAACAATATAAGGAATTATGTATATGTTCATATCAGAAAAGTTATAAACAATTCTCAAAAGGCTATGTACAGCCTGAATAACTAACATTCTGTGATAAAAATTATCTCATGTAAAGTATGAGAATTTACTACACACTAAAGAATCACAAAATAATAGAACAGACACAGAACTTATTGTGCAAGAAGTTTATCCATTATCATCTGAAAAAAGTAGGTATATAATGTATTGGAACTAAAGCATGTAAATATACTTACAGTAGAAAATATATGGTGTTTATGGTGTAACATAAATTTCTTAAATGAAGAGATACCTATGGCATTAGTATATATAATGTTTTATAAAATAAATAATAGACAAAATATTACATAATATATAAGGAAGAAAATACACACACAAAAAGAGTACTATGAATGGAAAATATCTAATTTCAAAACTCATAGTTTACAGAAAAATTCATAAAATCATAAAAATTCATAAATACTATTTTGCATGAGTTTTTACAGGTTTCTTTCAGATTTCTTATCAAAGAATTTCCAATATAAGTATGTGAATATGATTTATAATTTAAAATTATAAAATTTTTAAAAAGAGATAACTTTAAACTTAATCCTATAATAGAGTATTATATGGTATGTTAAAACAGTGATATTTCCTAAAATATTTATTGTTGCCTTAATTCGAGGCACAATTCACTTTACTTTTTGGGTTTCAACATTGATTAATTATCTTTTCATTCAACTGAGAAGATAACGAATAATTACTAAAAAGAAAATAAAGCTATGAAAATATATTAAATCTTACTAATATTCTAAGAAATGGATGTTTATAGCATTGAGACAATATTTAGGAAATATTAGTTAAAATGAGATGGTAATGATCTCTTGAAATAACTTGAGTTATATTTGATTTATTATTTGTACTTAGTATGTCAGTTTGTTTCAATCAATACATGTAATTTCAAAAAGTATAAATTGACCTTAAAAGTTTCTAGCTTGGCGGTGGTGGCGCTCACCTTTAATCCTAGCACTCGGGAGGCAGAGGCAGGGGATCTCTGTGAGTTTGAGGCCAGCCTGGTCTTCAAAGACAGTTTCAGGACAGTATCCAAAACCTACAGTGAAACCTGTCTCAAAAAAAAAAAAAAATAAAAGAAGAGTCTCTTAATATTGAAGCAAATCTGGGATACACAGAAAGTATGGAGGCAACCCTGGGACTCATAGTGTGACTGTCTCTAAAAACATCAACAAAAATTAGCTCCATTCCCTTATTTGCAGGAAAATCTGTGTTCAATAAATCAAAAAACAAACAAACAAACCAGAATGTAGAAATAGATCCAATCAATTCTGCTTACATGGTAAATAAGGGGATTCAGTGGGTACAGATGGAGAGATTACAAACTAAATGTTTCACAAAGAAATAGGTAGCTACTAAAATAACAATTTAAAATCTCTATGGTTATAGGTATAGCTCAGTGATAAAGCTCCCTTACATGTGTGATTCCTTGATTCCACACCCACTTCAAGAAAGTAAACAAGCAAATCTAGAACTTAACTCAAAACTGATTCAAAAATAGTAATCTCTGATGATACAGAAGTTAACATGTAAATTACACTATTAAATTACTATAAAATATAAGTATCACTAAAATATTTCTATTACTGTAGCTATAGATAAGTGGCATTGCAGTATTTATCATGCAGCCCATTGCATGTGTTTTGATTAAAATTACAAAACAATAAGGCAAAGGTAAGCATGTTCTACTAAGCATTATATTGTCATCCATCACTAATGTGCCTGTCACATAAAAGACACAGGCATTATTGGTTGAATGTTGGAATAGATGGACTTTTCTACATTTTAAATTATAAGAACCTTCATGGACATTTGTAATAGGTACAGAATTACAAAATACCATAAGGCTTAGTTCATGCTCTAATTTCTAGGAAAATATCCTATGTTTTGAAGTGCATTAGTAGGCCAGTTATAGTATATATGTATATGTAAATGTATGTATATCTTCCCATAGCAAGACTCTGGTTAAATATGCCAAGGCAATTATTATAACAGAATAGAGAACTATTTAAAAAAGGAATTGATTATTTCCCATGAAAACAACCATAAATCAGTAAATTATAAACCATCATATGATGTCACACAGATAAAACAGAAGCAGATGTATACAAGCATAAGGAAACTTCTGGAAGGAAATGCATCCAAATGTAAAAACTAGTTATCATTTGGTTGTCAAAATTAAACATTGACTATCATCATAATCTTTTATATTGAAGTTAATCTTTAAAATGTACACAAAATTTAATATTTACACATAAATACAAATTCATTTTCAAAATCACAATGCATTTCTTAACTTAAAACTGTATGACTGAATAAAAAGCACAAACTCTATAATAAAATCAAGTACTATACAAAGGCTAGTCTCCTTTTAATACATTTCTTCATTTGAAATTAATAATGGAGTATATTTTATATTTTAACATAGCACTAATAGTCTATGACCAAGTTTAGACAGTGAATGTGGTAAAGTGGGTTATTTTCTCATTTGTATGCCAAGTCACCTCTATGGATTTTTCTGCTTGTCTGCAAATATCACGATATTTTCCAATCAAATCTTTAACAGATTATAGCCTGTGAATTTTTATTTAAGTACAGATGAGCAATTCTGGTCATTCAGAAAAAAAGGGGGGGGGACGGCTAGTAAGTATGTCCTTACCTTTCAATGAAAAGTAAACACTGGTCTTTTTGGTTGTAGCAGAACTGAATCCTGTAAATAAAAATAGCAAATATCTGTTTTTAAACTTCATTTAGCTAAAGTTTGTTTACATATTACTGGGCTTATAAATCAGCATTTAATATGGATACAATTTCAAATTAAAAGGAAATTGGTGGCAGATGACATCTTAAACACTTACGGATGCTGCACTTGCCTTAGAACAAATCCCCCCTCCCATCCCGCTGTTAGTGGAATTGAAACCTGCTGCATGAAAGTGCGAAACAAATCCTCTGCTTTAAAAAAATATTACCTTACATTTGAAAACCGCTTCGTTTTGTCTAAAATTTTGCTACAAGCATTGAAAAGGACTACGTGGCAAATTAGCAATAAGATTAGAGTACATTACATTATATGCCAAATTTAAAACAGAAATACGACTGAAAAAATGGTGTAACTGACTCACGGCAACATGGGTTCGCAAACCTTGTAGATGGCTATAAACCAGGCTTGCCAAACATCACAGACAGGACTTATTAAATC